GAGGAAAAATCTCAGCACCGTCTGAAACAATTACCATCTGTTAACTGCAAAATGGAGATGACCCGCTGGGGATGTTAGAGTTTGCTTAATGGGCGCGCAATACAAATGAAGAGAAGACTGTGATGCTGATGGACGGGGACTGGGACAGTTTGTAAGAGGCGGAATCATTTGTTCCAAAGGTGAATGACAATGGTGTACAGGAAGGATATTTGGCACAGCCAATACACACTAAAATCTACATTGTGGAGGGAAAGGGAGAGGGAGGGAAGTAGAAAGGTTAGAAAAAGAAAGAGGGAAGGAGATGCCAGAGGAGAAGGAGGTTATAAAAAGGAAGGAGAGGAGAGAAAAAGGGAGGAGAAGACAAAGAAAGGGAAGAGTGAAAAGAAACAGAGAGAAGAGATAATGGGAAGGGAGGACATTAAAGGTGGAGAAGAGAGAAGAAGAGGAATAGAGGAGAGCATTAGAGAAGAGAGGAGAAGAGAGGATGGGAAGTGTGTAGAGGGCAGGAGAGAAAGGGAAGAGGGGAGGAGAGGAAAGGGGAAAAGAGAACTGGAGAGAAGAGGAAAGGGTAAGGTAGGAGTGTATTGGAGAAGAGAGGAGGAGAGGGGACAGGAAGAGAGTAGAGGGGAGGAGAGGAAAAAAAAAGAGGGGAGGAGATGAATAGTAAGAAGAGAGCAAGAGAGAAGAGAATAGAAGGAAAGGGGAAGAAAGCATCAGAGAAGAGAGGAGAGGAGGAGGCATGAAGAATGTCAGGGAGAGGAGCGGAAAGCAAACAGAAAAGTAGACAATTAAGGAAAAAAGGTCTGGTGAGAGGAGGAAAAGGGAAGGGAGGAGAGTATCAGAGAAGAGAAGAGAGGATAGAAAGGGAGAGGAATGGGGAAAAGAGAGCAATAGAGAGGAGGAGAAGGGAAGGGAGCATCAGAGAAGAGAGGAGGGTACAGGAAGGGATGAAACTAGAGAGGAACAGAGCGAAGGGAAAGGAAAAGGGGAGTAGAGGAATGGGGAGAGGACATGAGGAGAAAGGAAAGGAGAAGGGCAGAAAGGAAAGAGAAGAGGGACATGAAAGGAGGTGAGGAGTGGGAGTGGGGAACACAGCAAAGAGTAAACGGGAGTGTAGAAGAGAGGAGAGAAGAGCAGGGAAGGGGAGGAGAAAGGAGAAGAGGAGAGAAGAGGGGAGGAGAGGAGAAGAGCAACAATGCAAAGTGGGAAGGAGAGGGCAGGGGAGAATAAAAGATAAAAGACAAGGAAATAAGGGAAGAGTGGAAAGGAGAGAAGAGGAAAAGGAGTCAAGAAAGAAGCAGATGAAAGTAAAAAAAAGGCAAAGAAAAATAAATGAAGAATCTACAAATATACTAAATACTATATTGAAAGTCTCAACAAAGGTAAAAATATTGCATATAATTATTTTCAAATGTATGTTGCAAAAAAAAAAAGAGCCTGGAATGTGTACACATTGACAACACTTTTAAATTTACATTTTAATTGTAAAATCTTGAGCACGTGCCATAAGGTACCTTTGTTAACCACAAAAGCATCTTTTGTGGGTCCCCTCTGATATTTTTTAACTTTGTTAGTAAAGCTAATGACTTTTTCTAACTTTAAGATGAAGTCCCATCATACTTCACCTTGAGTTAAGCTTTAAAGTAGAAATGTTTCCCGCTACAGACATTCAAATATTGCATATTCATAAGACACAGTAAATATAAAAAAAATCCTTACTGACCTCTTTAGCTGCAGACAATGTGGAGTAATTCATCTTTAAATTCTACAGCAGCAGCACTTTTACTTCAGTAGGTCAGTTCCCTTGCTCCACCACCCTCCATCAATGACTCAGTATCCTAGCTCCTCTCATTCCCCTTACTAGCATTAACTTGTCAGCTCTGATCCACCTCCCAGGAATAACTCAGCAGCACAGATTGCCACACTACCCTCCAAGAAATGACTTGGCAGCTCTGATTCACCACCTCACAATGACTCAGTAGCTCAGCTCCCCTTACTTCTTTTCCAAGCAATGATCATTCAGCTCTGATCCACCTCCCAATAATGATTCAGACATTCAGCTCACTCTGCTCCCCTCTCCTAGCAATGACTTGGCAACCTTCTAATCTGTAAACACAAAAGGGAAACATAGAATGAAGGAAAAGCAGAGTGCTGAGACCCCATCTAAATGATTAGATTGAGAAACAGTGTTTCTCTTGTGAAATGTGTGAGTTAATTACTCCAGGGTGGCTGCAGCTACAGAAGGTCAGTAAGGTTTGTTTTAACCAGTTGCCCTCATGAGGATTTACCCCCTTCATGACCAGGCCATTTTTTGCGTTATGGCGCTGCATTTATTTTAACTGACAATTGCGTGGTCATGCAACACTGCACCCAAATTAATTTATGTCCTTTTTTTCCATGAATAGAGCTTTCTTTTGGTGGTATTTGATCGCCTGTGCGTTTTTAATTTTTTGTTCTTTAAGCAAAATAAGACCAACAATTTTGAGAAAAAAAACTATGTTTTTGACTTTTGCAGTGAAAAAATTTTAAAAATCAAATTTCGTCATAAATTTGGGCCAAAATGTATTCTGCTCCATGTGTTTGCTAAAAAGAATCTCAATACGTGTAAATTAATTGGTTTAAGTGAAAGTTATAGCGTTTACAAATGGCGGTATAGATAATGGGATTTTTTTTTCTACCAGTAACAGTGGCGATCAGCAACTTTTACAGGGACTGCGGTGGACATTCTGACACTTGGGGGGAACTAATTTGGTGTCACTGACACCCCAGTGACACCAATACAGTGATCAGTGCTAAAAAAAAAAAGCACTGACACTGTACTAATGGCACTGGGCAGGAAGGGGTTAACCCTTTGAGGACCAAGGGACGTATTTGTCCCATGTTTTTAATTGCATGTATCATCTGATTAAGAACTTAAAACTCTTTTTTTTTTTTTTGGTTTGAGTCAAAATATTAGTTATCAACAAACAACAAACGGATCTAGCTTTTTGCCAATTATTTCATGAAATGGCTTAGTTACAGCAACTGAAATGTACGAACTTTAAAAACAAACAAAAAAATTGATTCTTTTGGCGTTCCAAAATCTTACGGTCCTCAAAGGGTTAATGTGAGGGGCAATCAAAGGGTTAACTGTGTGATGGGAGTTGTTTACTAGGGGGGGTGGGGGGGGGGTGTTCTTCATTGTAAGCACACTGATCAGGATAGCTGTACTATGCACATCCATCCCGAGCAGTGTGTTCGAGCTGACAGGGAGGAAGATTGTTTGTAAACAAAACAATCTTCCTCCCCGTAGGAGATGCTCGATAATCACCGGGCGCTGGCAGGTAACTACCAGCCGGGACCTGGTGATTGACATCCGCGCCCATGAATGGTGGCACGGGTAGGGCTCACGCACATATATACATGATTCTGCGCAAAAGTGCCGCCGTGTAGCAGTATATCTGATAAAGGCCGGTCCTTAAGCGGTTAAAGAGCATTGGTTGCTTGTTAATAGGTTGAATGTCCTTAGCCTGGCCACAAATTATCTTTATGTATTTGATGTCTGAGGCTCTGGACCCATCTTACCTCCTAATCTAGGTCTTGGTCTTCCAAACACGAAGCTGCTTACATTACACAAATCCTATCAGTCTTTTTTTTTGGTTCTCAGAATACTCAGCTGGACAAAGACACTTTACCAAAAGACATTTCATGCTAAAGACACCTTATGCTGTCTGCTGCTTCAAAGAATACCATCATTATTCAAACAATCTGAGAATGACACTGATTATCCATCGCCTACCATTCAGGTGAGCAGAATGAAAAATACGACATGTGGTGACAAGCATAAAGAAACCATAGAAAGCTATCTATAGGAAATACTTATGGAAAGAAGTTAGTCCCTTTTTCTCTACAGATAATGTCTCCAGATCATGAAAGGCAACTAGCTATCATAAAACAGAAGTACAGCCAAAATTCGATCATATATACGTCATAGAAACAAGTGTTCTAGATATCTGCTAACCTGACTGCATTTTTGTCTGTCGGCTAGAGATGAGTTTGGAGGACACCTGAGCTCATCTCTAATGGTAAATGGCACTCACCAAATACTCATGACTTTTGGTTATAGGAGGTCGTGGTACAGCATGATCTTTATGGGCCTAGAATTATTGCTCTGACTCTGGCGCACATGGCAATAGGCAACATGGGTAGCTCAAGTGCCATTTTCGTACATGGACTTCCTGATGGGTGTGTTTACGTTCATATGTACATGTACACTATATTGCCAAAAGTATTGGGCCGCCGCCTTTACACGCACATGAACTTTAATGGCATCCCAGTCTTAGTCCGTAAGGTTCAATATTGAGTTAGCCTACCCTTTGCAGCTATAACAGCTTCAACTCTTCTGGGAAGGTCGTTTGACAGGCTGTGAGGAGGCATTTTACCAACTCCTCACTGCCTGCTAGACATGTGCACGTCAGAAATTTCTGTTTTGTTTTGGATGCATTTGTTTATTGAAGAATTTTGTTTCTTTATTATCATTATGTTGAACAGATTAATCTTTAAAATTAATTTTGTATCTTCGGCATTCGTTTCGTATATACACTATATTGCCCAAAGTATTAGTCGGCCGGCCTTTACACGCACATGGCATCCCAGTCTTAGTCTGTAGGGTTCAATATTGAGTTGGCCCCGCCCTTTGCAGCTATAACAGCTTCAACTCTTCTGGGAAGGCCATCCACAAGGTTTAGGAGGGTGTCTATGGGAAGGTTTGACCATTCTTCCAGAAGCGCATTTGTGAGGTCAGGCACTGATGTCGGGGAGGAGGCCTGGCTCACAGTCTCCGCTCTAATTCATCTCAAAGGTGTTCTATTGGGTTGAGGTCAGGACTCTGTGCAGGCCAGTCAGATTCCACCACCCAAAACTTGCTCATCCATGATTATGGACCTTGCTTTGTGCACTGGTGCTCAGTCATGTTGGAACAGGAAGGGGCCATCCCCAAACTGTTCCCACAAAGTTTGGAGCATGAAATTGTCCAAAATGTCTTGGTATTCTGACGCCTTAAGAGTTCCCTTTACTGGAACTAAGGGGCCAAGCCCAACCCTTGAAAAACAACCACACACCATAATCCCCCCTCCACCAAACTTTACACTTGGCACAATGCAGTCAGGTAAGTACCGTTCTCCTCGCAACCGCCAAACCCAGACATGTCCAAAGGATTGCCACTCCAGAGAACACATCTCCACTGCTCTAGAGTCCAGTGGTGGCGTGCTTTACACCACTGCATCCGACACTTTGCATTGCACTTGGTGATGTAAGGCTTGGATGCAGCTGCTCAGCCATGGAAACCCATTCCATGAAGCTCTCTACGCACTATTGTTGTGCTAATCTGAAGGCCACATGAAGTTTGGAGATCTTTAGCTATTGACTCTGCAGACAGTTGGCGACTTCTACGCACTGTGCGCTTCAGCATGCGCTGACCACGCTCTGTCATTTTACAAGTTGCTGTTGTTCCCAGTTGCTTCCATTTTGATACACTATCACTAACAGTTGACCGTGGAATATTTAGTAGCCAGGAAATTTCACGGATGAACTTATTGAACAGGTGGCAACCTATCACGGGACCACGCTTGGAGTCACTGAGCTCCTGAGAGCGACCCATTCTTTCACCAATCTTTGTAGAAGCAGTCTGCATGCCTAGGGCTTGATTGTATACACCTATGTCCATGGAGGGGATTAGAACACCTGAATCCAATGATTTGGAGGGCTGGCCCAATACTTTTGGCAATATAGTGTATGTGAGGGTGGGACAGACCAGGGCAGGCTAAAAATGTTTTTGGGGGTGGTTTAAGTGATTGGGTGTAACTTTTTTTTTACACTTATTTTTCTCACTAAAATGTTTAATCACATAGAGACAAAAAGGCTATATAATTTATTTGTGATAGGGTCTCTTTCATGAGATATCAGGGGTCTTTTAGACTCCTGATGTCTCATGTGCCCTCTATTAAAACTAATGGAGCACAGATTATGCTGCACTAGCTTCGTCCCTGGCCACAGCAACCAGGAAAAAAGACACTTGAAACTGGATGATGATATACACATTACTTCTGGGTTTTTTGCAGCTAGGGGGGATCAGCAAATAGATGTTCACTGGTCTCCCTCCCCTCCACCTGGGCCTACAGGTGGAACAGCAAGGAAAATCCTTTTTGATGTTTATAGACATAGGCTGACTATGACCGATGGTGAATTCAGCCCTTCCATGCAATAAAGGTTTTAATTTGACAACTAATGTTATTTGCAGCAATGCCTCCCCTGCAGTTTGGTCATGTGACACCACTGAACTCACAGATTTGTATTAATTTCATTCATTTGATAATGGAACAAAGATGCATGCATAGGGGTTTCATATGTGAGTTGCCCCAAGTGCATATTTTCACACTTATCTCTCCTCCATTCAGGTCCCAGGTTCCTTCTCCAGTGTATGGCTGCTATCACCTCCAGGCTGTACCCAGAGAATCTGCAACATGGCCAATTAGGAGACAGCTCTCCTGGTTGGCTTTGAATGGCAAACGGCTCTGCCTTCAAGCAACACATCACTACATCTAAGCGGAGTCCCCTTGCTGCAGTGTTTCTAGTGATCTCATTGCTAGTGTGACTCATGTGGCCCCTGTGCCCTTCAGTATCTCTAGTGTTTTCAGTGATCCAACACTCCAGTGCCTGTGTGACTTATGTGCACTCTAGTAACCTCACTGTTTCCAGTGACCACAGTGCCCCTGAGAATTCCAGTGTCCCCATGTCTCCAATGACCTCAGAACTCCTGTGACCCCTGTGCATTCCAGTACCCCCAGTATCTTCCATGACGCCTGAGAACTCCAGTGACCAAGGTGTTTTTAGTGCTCCTGTGCTCCCATGACCCCATGACCCCTGTGCTCTCCAGTTCTGTCCCGGAGCTGCTGATCCCTGCTTCTGTGACCTCTGCACCTCCTTTGCCTGACCGCACTCAAGTGATCCCAGTGTCTCCAGTGACCCCAGAGCTCCTGTGCCTCTATGACCCCTGAGCACTCCAGTGATCCCAGTGTCTCCAGTGACCCCAGAGTTCCTGTACTTCTGTGACCTCTGAGCACTAGAGTGACCCCAGTGTTGCCTGTGGCCCCAGAGTTCCTATGCTTCTGTGACCCCAGAGCTCCAGTGCCTCTGTGACCCCTGAGCACTCAAGTGATCCCAGTGTCTCCAATGACCTCTGTGCTCCTTTGCCTCTGTGACCTCTGGGCACTAGAGTGACCTCAGTGTCGCCAGTGACTCCAGAGCTTCTATGCCTCTGTGACCCCTAAACACTCCAATGCCCCTGTGCCTCTGTGACCTCTGAGTGCTCTAGTGACCCTAGTGTATTCAGTGACTCCACTGCCCCTGAGCCTTTGTGATCCCTTAATCTTCCAGTGATCCCAGTGTCTCCAGTGACTCTAGTGCTGCTGTGTCTCTGTGACCAATGAACACTCCAGTGCCTCCAGTGATCTGAGCACTCCTGTGCCTCTGTGACCAATGACACTCCAGTGCCTCCAGTGATCTGAGCACTCCTGTGCCTCTGTGACCAATGAACACTCCAGTGACACCAGTGTCTCCATCGACCTCAGCACACATGTGCCTTCTGTGACCCTGAGCACTGAGTTGGCCCCAGAGTTTATATACATATACAGCACATAATGGAATCCTCTATAACAAGTGGTACAGTATGTTCAGTGGACAACCCACCATGTATGAAGCCTGTGCAATTACAAAATATTACTCTGGGACATTTCCAAGGACAAACCTCCAAAGACACGGGACTGCCTATGAAACAGGGACAGTTGGGAACCATAAAAAATTGTTCCACCATAGTTTACTTCTATGCATCATAACATTATTGTCAATGTGAAATTTAGAGCAAGCACTGAAACCTGGCCAGGATAATCAAACAGTTTGATGTATGTCTTGTGTACTCAGGTTCTCTGCAGCGTGGCAGGGGTGCCAGGAATACATAATAAACTAAATTTGGCATGGGGAATACTAAAAAGCTTCATCCTTACCCTGCATACAAAGATTTGCTTTATTTGTACAATACGACCGATGTCTACACTGTATCATTTTATTATTTGGAACAAGTTCTCTGATCAGGGAGTGGACCTTGTCATACAGCTGGCCATAGCAGCATTGTGTCATAATTTGCATAACTCCACCCACTGTCCTAAATTGAGCAATACAATTATTTTGTGGGGATTTGTGATGAAAAATGAGATCTTCAAATAACTTTCTTTTCCTACCGGAGTGTAGCATTACTTTACCACATGAAATAATGCATATATCAATCTTTTAGGAGGAAAAAGTCTTTCTTTTTGTAATATTTTCTAGCAAAATTATATTATTTTTTAAAGCAATCCATAGACAAAGAAAGTGACAAAAATAGAAAAAAAATCACTTTTTTGCTACTCTGATCAGTGTTAGTTTAAAAGAAATAATTGTTACAAATAAAAAGTATAAACTTCAATTTGTTTAATTTGTAATGCTGTGTAACCTCTTGGTACAAAGTGTTGCACATTATTGCAAATGAAAGGAAATGCTTTTTTTCTTTAATATTGTGCTTTTTAATGTGACACCAAAACAATTAACAAACAAAAAAAAGTTATATATTAAATGGTTAGAGAAATATAAATAAGTAAAAAAAAAAAAAAATCAGGAAAATAATAGTTAAGGAGAGAAGGGGAAGAAGGAGTTAATTAGGACTTATTAGAATAGACTAAGGGTTAACAAATAGTAAGACATAAAAAAAAACTTGTTTTAAATGTCCGGTCCCTTTAACTGATATCATATTCAGATCAAAACTCATTACTAGTGATGGACCAAACACCCCCCCCCCGTTCGGTTTGCGGTCGAACATTTGAACCTAACGAATGTTCGACCACGAACGTCAAACAGGGACAATTTACTGAGTGGTACCTTACCACATCTGAATATGAGGTAAGATACCACTCAGCTACTAGAATACTGCATGAGTTATATTATTAAGATTCCATAGACTGTGTGCTGTTGCCACCCCTCTGGTGTTCATGAGTCAGCTGTGTGGGGACATTGTGTCCGGTGTCCTAAAGAGCTCAGTCTATTAAAAGCGGAGTTCCACTCAAAAGCGGAAGCTCCACTTATTTGCCTCCTCCCCCCTCCACTGCCATATTTGGCACCTTTTGGGGGGGGGGCAGATACCTGTTTTGGACAGGTACCCGCCCCCACTTCCGGCTCAATTTGTCACGGTGAAGTGAGCCATAAGTTTGCCCCCCTCCTCCTTCCTGCAGTCTCCTGGAAACTTTCACAGGTCCCAGAAGGCTGCTGGACCAATTAGGAGGTGCAGCATGACTCGTGCACAGGGGCGGACTGACCATTGGGAAACTCGGGCACTGCCCGAGGGCCCGGGGTCAGTAGGGGGCCCCATGACATGCCCTTGGTACCTTTTTCATAGGCTTTTTTGAGTTTGGGCAAGGACACAGGGGCCCTATGAGTTGTCAGTCTGCCCCTGCTCGCGCATGCGCAGTGGGCACCAGACTATGAAGCTGCACGCTGTCAAAGCCTGGTGTCCACAGTTGAGATGCCAGCACCATGGAGGAAAGAAGGGGAGAAGGAACAATGCGAGTGAGAACATTGCTGGACCATGGGACAAGTAAGTGTGTGCAGGGGCGGACTGACAACTCATGGGGCCCCGGGCAATAGGGGATCATGGGGCCCCTGTGTCCTTGCCCAAACTCAAAAAACCTATGAAAAAGGTACTAGGGGCATCTCATGGGGCCCCCTACTGACCACGGGTCCTTGGGGAGTGCCCGAGTTTCCAAATGGTCAGTCCGCCCCTGAGTATGTGTTTATTAAAAGTCAGCAGCTACAGTTTTTGCAGCTGCTGACATTTAATAAACACAAAAATGTCTGGAACTCCGCTTTAATTCTTAGTAAAAGGACTCTGCTTGGATTGTCAGAGAGGAAGACTTATATCCTCAAGTTGCTACTACAAACTTCAATGTACTCAAATTGCTACTAAGAGTTAATGGCATATCCCATAGTTACCCTACTTCTGTCCAAGTTCAACTTCTTCATTAAATCATCAGAAAAGCATACCCCTAGAATATTCAATGAGCCAGAGGAGTAGCTGTGACTGTGTGCCTTGCTGCAAGGAAATTCCAGGAAAGTCCTAAGGGACCTACAAATATTGCAGCTCCTACAGGGGTACTGATACACTAGTAAACAAAAAAAAAAAACAGATGTAAAACAATATCAAAACGTAACAACTTAAAAAATAAAATGAAATGGACACCAAACTAGTATATTGTTTTTATCTGCTTTTATTTACTTTTGAGTCATTTTTACCACGTGGATTAATAAACACCAATTTTAAACTACTATACCATGGGCTATTTCTTGCTGGCTCCTTGGTGAGCCTTACATCCGTTCCAGAGCCCAAGCATCAGGAGTCTGTGACATATGATACCACCCTAAGGATGACGCACGCACTGATGTAGTCCGCCCAGTACCCTGTCCATTTCCTAGAGGGAGACAATGATTTGGCTGCTGTACACCCAGAGGAAGGAGAGTCCGCTAAGACGGCCCAGCTCGTCCATCCCATCCCATGAGGGGGACATCTGGTGTATGTATGACATGCGTATTAAAAATACGCATCTGGTGAGTGCGTATTTTCACTATTTGTCACCAGACCACAAGATCGAGAAATCACTAGCAACTCCTGCATAGATCACTTATCACGAACTGTCACTATTTATTTATTTATTTTTACAATTTTAACATTGTCTTATTGTGTTCCTTTTATTACCCACATGATTCGGCGAACATACATATCTATTGGAGTATTTAGCACTGCACTTCTTTTTATATATCTCTATAATGCTGGAGATGGCTATTTTTTTTGTCAAGATCTGAGCTTGTAAAAGTGAACGGAGGTGGTTTAGATCTGTGAGTCCTGTAATATAATGCTCAGCTAGAACAAAAAGCTTTTCCTTGTTTGTTTGTATAGCTGCTCTCGGAAAACACGTGTTAGTGGAATTTTAAACATTACAGTACGGGCAGGTCTGCGTATCAGCGTTATAATGATACTAATACATTGTCTGTGCCTGCGAGCCAAGAATGGTATTGCTCAACCCACCGGAATAATAGGTCGGCTAAACCCACAATCACAGTCTGCGAACAAGACTCCCTGGCAAGAGTAAACATACTAATTTGTGTACAGGATGATCTTCTGTGATCCAAGAACTGGATGGTATTCCGTGTGTGCTCCAGATCCATCATCCTAGAGCGGTGGCGATGCACCGCACCGCTTGGGCACACCGTGTGATGCTCCTGCCAGGCGGTGGGCGATTAGCAGCTTGGGCTTATTGGGTTGGCATGCTCGCCTGAGTTTAGGTTTTTGAAGTTGACACAAATTGTGTTGTCAAGGTGATGTATTTATAGATGGAGATGGATTACATCGCCTGTGAAGAGTCTTCAAGGCTTAATCCATCCAAGAACAAATGGGGTTTGCATAGTTCAAGAAGAGCAGAAGTTAAATTTAGTTTTTTTAAAAAGATGATAGATATTCATACTTACTAAAAAATCCATACCACAATTTAAAAAGTATGTCCTCCCAATTCTCAATTCAAGCTCCTTATGCAAGTTACGACAGCGGCTAAGCAGGTTATAGCAAAATCTTGGAAATCCCCCACCCTAAGTGTTGCGGCCATCAAAACCAGAATAACACAAGCCATGATACATGCAAAGGTGGAAGCCACAGTTCTTGACACAATCCCTAAATTCCTGCGCATATGGAGCCCCTGGGTAGAGCGCTTCCTCCCACCTAACTTTGACGAATCACTCCTTCTCCCTTGAGTTCTGTACTGTGCGCCAAGGATATTGTCAATAGCCCTTCGTACGTAGCACGTAGGGGCTGTTGTAAACTTGATGAATGTTCATGGAGTCATGGTTGTTGTTCCTCTTCCCCTTCCCCCCCTTCCACCCCTGTCTGACCCCCTCCAAACGTTCCCCTATTTCTTTAATGCACTTGGGAGACATTGCTATGATTGGCTGGTACCATATTGTGATCTGTTGTCAACTTTGATCTACCTGTTTCCATTAGAATTGTATAGGCATTAATACCTTGACCTGTTGTTCCTCTTCCCCTTCCCCCCCTTCCACCCCTGTCTGACCCCCTCCAAACTTTCCCCTATTTCTTTAATGCACTTGGGAGTCATTGCTATGATTGGCTGGTACCATATTGTAATCTGTTGTCAACTTTGATCTACCTGTTTCCATTAGAATTGTATAGGCATTAATACCTTCACCCTCATTCATTTATATTATGTCCTACTGCCACTGTAATGCCTAGTATACATTAACAATGTCTCCATGTTTGTGTCATTCTGGTTTATTGTTAATAAAATTGTTTGAACAAGAAAAAGTATGTCCTCCCAAAACGTTTCTTTTTTTTTCCCTTACTTTTGGATAGAGGAATGGGGAAGGAACAGAACCTCTCTTAGTTTTGCCTGGGGCTCCTTTAAAGAGATTTCCCCTTACTTCCTGTCACAGTGAATATGATTCGATCAGACATGGCATAAACAAAATTCTTCAACAGCATCATTTTTTTTTTTTTTTTGTAAAGTAGTGTGGGTAGGTGGCAGTAAAAGACAAATAATCTGGTTGCACTAAAACTTAGAATTTGTATTGAAGAGAATGCCAAGTAAAAACACCCTAGAAGGAGTTCGCCACTTAGAGGAAACACTCACAGTTCAGTTCAAATGCAGAGATGCAGCAGAAAGAGATGCACTGACAGCGTCTGTTTCAGAGGATGAAGTGCTGTTCTGGTTGCATGCTCAGCTACTTCTGCTGTACTCTAGTAAGTTCTGAAATATAGTGGGTTGGAAGAGGTGTACCCTGGCTGAATATTCATACAGCTTCAGCCAATCCCTGGTTAAGGGGATGGCTAGCAGAAGGCTAAGGTGCGTATAATTAGTCTGAGGCCTAGAACAACAGGGTCCTTGTCCTGGAGGAGAAGACCCAGCATGAAAGGCTGTTGCCCTTCTGGGCAAGTCAGCTGAAGACTTTGGGAGTTTCATCACGGTCCCAGTTCAGGGAGAGACAGTTCAGTTCAAATGCAGAGGAAATAGATGCACTAACCGCGTATGTTTCAGAGGATGAAGTGAGGCCTGGCCAGCATGGCTCAAAAAGGGGAGTGAATTCCTAGCCTGTTCCTACTCATCAGGAACCTATCCCTACTGCTAGTCATTTCCCTTGTCAGATGGAGTCTCTCTCCCTACTCTACCCACAAATGCATGCCAAAAAACCTGGGGCAAAGATTTATAAAGACCCTGCTGACCCAAGATGGCTGCCATGGGTCACTGGAATGCTCCATGACCTAGGAAACAGGAAAGGAACCAGGTTTCCCTTGACTTCCTCTCCATGCTGTGGTACCACTCATTGTGTGCCAACTGCAGTGAAGAAAACAGACTGCACCTTCCTACAGTAGAGTAGGAGAAGGCTACAACACAACATTTTTGTGTTGTTGTTTTATGTTCCTGTTGCAAATTTTAGCTTGCTTCTAGTCTGTTGAGACTGTTGTCACCAGGACAAGAAGTAAAAGAAAAATCTAGCTGTCAAAGCTTTATTACTGTTAGTTTAGAAAATCCTTTCTCAACTTTTCTACCCTGGTGTAACTCAGGTCTCTTATTCTTCACAGCAGTGCACTAACTTTTGTTCTCCTGTAACTCAAAGTCAGCTTATAGAGGGCTATCACCCAGGTATTAACTGACACCACAGAGCTACTCCAGGCTCTGGAAAGATCCTGACCATATTGTTGGATCCACCCAGCTGCCTGAATGACAGTTGGCTCTGGCTCTCAGTACGTGGCTGAGAACCAAAGCCAGCTGCGCATGACCCCATGTGATTGCTCAGTTCTGAGGCTTGGAGCCACCAGAGAGACAGCTGTAGCATTAGACCAAACTTCAACTTTAAGGAACCTCTAGCAACCTCTAGAGGAACCACAGGGTTCTAGAGAACCCTGGTTTTGAATGACTCTTCCTTCTACAGTTATGAATATAATATATACTACAGTTCATTAGTACCCTTCCTTTTTAGAGGGCCATTCACACTTACGCATTCCATTGCAATGCATTACTGCACACACAATAATGCGCATTGTGGCACAGGCTCAAGCAGTAAGGCTGTTTATTCATTATGAATGGGCTGTCAAGACACCTCAAAAATTAAAAATTGTGCTTGACCATTTGTTAACAATGCAGGTTGATTACATTTTTCATTGTCATTTTTGCCCCTATTGGGAAGATTTTCCTTAACAAGCTTTAAACTAAATGTTATACATTTGAACGTTCCATGCACATGTAGCACCCTCCTAGTCAGGTTGCTAATAGAATTAGGTAAATTTAGTTTTTGGCTCTGTAGCCAGTGGGGCAGAATTTATTAACTTTGGCTGTTCTGGTTGTATGCTCAGCTACTTCTACTGTACTCTAGTAAGTTCTGAAATATAGTGGGTTGGAAGAGGTGGACCTGGGTGAATATTCATACATCTTCCGCCAATCCCTTGTTAAGGGGATGGCTAACAGGGGGCTAAGGTGAGTATAATTAGTCTGAGGCCTAGAACAGCAGGGTCCTTGTCCTGGAGGAGAAGACCCAGCCCTTCTTGGCAAGTCAGCTGAAGGCTTCAGAATTTTCATCGAGGTTCCAGTTCAGGGAGAACGGGGGGGGGGGGGAGGGGGCTATTTCTAAAGCGGCTGAAAACAGTTTGGAGAGAGTACTGAGGATCTGGCCTGGAGGCTCACAGTACAGGGTCTGGCTGGTACTGGAAGGAGGCAACTATGTATACAGGGGCAGAGTAAGGGCCTGAAAGAGATCCTAGTGACTGTTGAGGCTTAACCCTGTGTGAGACTGTTCCAGAGTTGGTGGCTTAGGACTGCTTGCATAGTTGGAGCCCCTAAGCTGTATGTCCACTATCTTTTATCACAAGAGGCCAATCCTGAAGAGTTTACCTACTACCTGAGAGTGTTCTGTGCAGGGGCGAACTGACCATTCAAGCACTCGGGCACTGCCCGAGGGCCGGGGGTCAGTAGGGGACCCCATAAAATGCCCCTGGTACCTTTCTTTGAGTGTGGGCAAGGACACATGGGTCCCATGATCCCCTATTGCGCGGGGGCCCCATGATTTGTCAGTCCGCCCCTGGTTCTGTGTTACAATTTGCAGCAAATTTGGAGTATCCCAAGGCTCACCCTACACCCCAACCGAGTTTAACCAGCATTAAACTTAAAAAAAGATGCTCACTGCCTAGGTATTGTGTTGAGAGACTGGGAAACTGCTGAACCTGGACAATACAGTGAGACCGACTGGGCAGCACCATGGGCAGAAAAAATGTCAGAACCTCTGGCAGAAAAAGTGGCATTCAAATGCTCATAGTGGCTCGTATTGCACAAGAGTTTATGCTTGTTTAAGGGCATTTGCTTATCCCTTTGAGGACCAAGGGACGTATTTGTCCCATGTTTGTAATTGCGTGTATCATCTGATTAAGAACTTAAAACTCTTTTTTTTTTTTTTTGGTTTGAGTCAAAATATTAGTTCTGATCAACAAACAACAAATGGATCTAGCTTTTTGCCAATTATTTCATGAAATGGCTTAGTTACAGCAACTGAAGTGTACGAACTTTAAAAAAAAAAATTGATTCTTTTGGCATTCCAAAACCTTACGGTCCTCAAAGGGTTAAATAAGCATTTTTTTCTTCAAAACATTCCCCTCTGCTCATTTTTTAATGTACAATTGAAAACATTGAATGCTCCCAAACGCTGCGTTTATGCGTGTTATGAGCATCAAGCATTTTTCTGCCCTAAAAGCTCCTCTCAAAAAACACGCTTGCTATGTTTTTTTTTTTTCTTTTCCTAGCAAAAAAAATGCTTTTCTGAAAACACCCTAATGTGCATGGACCCATAGGCATACTTATACAGACTGAAGAAGAAAACACCAAATACCTGTATAAGTTGCATTTTTTATGCCCAGTGTGCATGGAACCAAAAGAAGAACAAAATGAGCCTGATCCTGCCAAGACATGGGATATTTACAACTATAACACACTCCGTATATTATTTATCTAACCAGAATTTGGTTGTTTTATTCAGACGAGTTTCTTGTTTGAAGTTTGAAGTGTGTTTGAAGATGTCTGCAGAATCCTTTAATCAGCTATCATAGAGGAACGTTGTACTGGCTGGAATGTTCAGCCTCCCAGTAGAGCTCTCAGGTGATATCAGGAGAACGAAAAAAAGATGAAAGATTACATTTTCAAACCCAATTTGTTGAATTATAATAAAAAGAACACAGATGTGTTCAAAATCGACTTATTCTCGAAAACCTTTTGAAAACCCACATAGAAATGCCCCAGCTGCCAGCTCCTCAAAGCTACTGAGGACCGAGACTGAATCAACACATCTGCAAGAATAAATGTAATCCTCCTTTATATTACCAACCCCCCCCCCCCCCCCCATCTCCTGCACACCAGGTGAAATTTTAAATAGAGCTAACAATGAAATGCTGACACAAATTCAGATGAGGTGGATTGAAGGATCAAGAACATAGACAAAAAGACAGAGAGACAGCTTACATAAACAGCAAGCTAACATAATACAGTCACTGAATAAAGACCAAGGTCCCTGTAACTGAGTCAGTGGAACAATCAGAGCTAGGGGCTAAGGTACTAATACACAATCGTACATGCAGCACCCTGGGGGTATAAGGCCGTACAGTTCTAGAAGCTAGATTGTATGTTACCCTTAAATGTATTATTTGATTTATTGGGTCTATATATGAAAAAAATGGTGTGCCAATGTATCCGCATTTGCACAAAGGTGGCAAATAATACCCTTGCACATGTTTTTCATAGTTGTTGAAATGTTACTTTCTTGTTATTCAATAATTCCCAAAAACATTCGAGCAGAAGAGGAAATAGCCTAAAAAAAAGACCAAGAACATTCAATCAGAAGAGGAAATAGCCTAAAACAATAGCCTAACAACATTTGGACTAAAGTAATCTAAATTAAAAGCCCAAGAACATTCAACTAGAAGAGAAAATACCTAAAACGGCAGCCTAACAACATTTGAGCTGAAGAAAAAAAAATATTTAACAATAGCCCAAGCACATTGAACCAGTAGAGGAAATAGCCTAAAACAATAGTCTACCAACATTTGACCAAAAATACCCTAAAACATTCAAGCGAAAGAGAAAATTGCCTAAAATAAATAGAATAAGAACATTTAACCAGAAGAGGAAATAGTCTAAAACGATAGTATAACAACATTTGACCAAAAGTAACCTAAAATAATAGCCCAAGAACATTAAACTAGAAGAGAAAATAGCATAAACAGTAGCCTAACAACATTCGAGCTGAAGAGAAAAAAGTCTATAACAATAGCCCATGCAGATTCAACCAGAAGATAAAACAGCATAAAATATTAGCCTAACAACATTTGGACAAAAGTAACCTAAATTAAAAGCCCAAGAACATTCAACTAGAAGAGAAAATACCTAAAACGGCAGCCTAACAACATTCGAGCTGAAGAAAAAAAAAGTATATAACAATAGCCCAAGCAAATTGAACCAGTAGAGAAAATAGCCTAAAACAATAGTCTACCAACATTTGACCAAAAATACCCTAAAACATTCAAGCGGAAGAGAAAATCGCATAAAACAAATAGAATAAGAACATTTAACCAGAAGAGGAAATAGTCTAAAACAATAGTGTAACAACACTTGACAGAAAGTAACCTAAAATAATAGCCCAAGAACATTAAACTAGAAGAGAAAATAGCATAAACAGTAGCCTAACAACGTTCGAGCTGAAGAGAAAAAAGTCTATAACAATAGCCCATGCAGATTCAACCAGAAGATAAAATAGCATAAAATATTAGCCTAACAAAATCTGGACAAAAGTAACCTAAATTAAAAGCCCAAGAACATTCAACTAGAAGAGAAAATACCTAAAACGGCAGCCTAACAACATTTGAGCTGAAGAAAAAAAAAGTATATAACAATAGCCCAAGCACATTGAACCAGTAGAGAAAATAGCCTAAAATATTAACCTAACAACATTTGACCAAAAGTAGCCTAAAATAATAGCCCAAGAACATTCAACTAGAAGAGAAAATAGCATAAACAAGCCTACCAACCTCCAAGCTGAAAAGAGAAAAGTCTATAACAATAGCCCATGAACATTTAATCAGAATATGAAATAGCCTAAAACAATAGCCTAACAATAATGGACAAACGTAGCCTAAAACAATAGCCCAAAAACATTCAACCAGAAGAGAAAAAATATTCTAACAAAATTCCAGTTGAAGAGAAAAAAAGCCTAAAGCAATAGCCCAAGAACATTCAACCAGAAGAGCAAAATATCCAAAAACAATAGCCTAACAACATTAAACCAAAAAATGGCCTAAACAATAGCCTAACCAACATTCAATCAGAAAAGAAAATAGCCTAAAACAATAGTATAACAGCACTGGACCAAAAATAGCCTAAAACAATAGCCCATGCACATTTAAACAGAAGAGAAAGTAGCCTAAAACAATAGTCTATTAATAGTGAACCAAAAAAGCCTAAAACAATAGCCCAAAAACATTTGAGCATCAACGTAAATAGCCTAAAACAATAGCCAACAGGATTCAACCAAAACATAGCCTAAAACAATAGCACAAAAACATTTGAGCAAAAAAAAAAAAAAAACATCCAAAAAAGAGGAAAACAATATTCTAACAACATTCCAGCTGAAGAGAAAAAAAGCTTAAAGCAATAGCCCAAGAACATTCAACTAGAAGAGAAAAATACCCAAAAACAATAGCCTAACAACATTAAACCAAAAATGGCCTAAAGCAATAGCCTAAGAACATTCAAGCAGAAAAGAAAATAGCCTAAAACAATAGTATAACAGCACTGGACCAAAAATAGCCTAAAACAATAGCCCATGCACATTTAAACAGAAGAGAAAGTAGCCTAAAACAATAGTCTATTAATAGTGAACCAAAAATAGCCTAAAACAATAGCCCAAAAACATTTGAGCATCAACGTAAATAGTCTAAAACAATAGCCAAACAGGATTCAACCAAAACATAGCCTAAAACAATAGCACAAAAGCATTTGAGCAAAAAAAAAAAAAAAACATCCAAAAAAGAGGAAACAACAATAGTATAACAACATTCCAGCTGAAGAGAAAAAAAGCTTAAAGCAATAGCCCAAGAACATTCAACTAGAAGAGAAAGATACCCAAAAACAATAGCCTAACAACATTAAACCAAAAATGGTCTAAATCAATAGCCTAAGAATATTCAAGCAGAAAAGAAAATAGCCTAAAACAATAGTATAACAGCATTGGACAAAAATAGCCTAAAACAATAGCCCATGCACATTCAAACAGAAGAGAAAGTAGCCTAAAACAATAGTCTATTAATATTGAACCAAAAATAGCCTAAAACAATAGCCCAAGAACATTTGAGCATCAATGTAAATAGCCTAAAAAATAGCCAAACAGGATTCAACCAAAAAGTAGCCTAAAACAATAGCACAAAAGCATTTGAGCAAAAAAAAATTTATAAAAACATCCAAAAAAGAGGAAACAATAGTCTAACAACATTCCAAATGAAGAGGAAAAAAAAGCCTAAAGCAACAATCAACTAGAAGAGAAAGATACCCAAAAACAATAGCCTAACAACATTAAACCAAAAATGGCCTAAAGCAATAGCCTACAGAATATTCAAGCAGAAAAGAAAATAGCCAAAAACAATAGAATAACAACATTTGACCAAAACAGACTAAATCAAAGCCCAAAAAACACTCAACCAGCAAATTTGATGAAAACAGCCTAAAACTATAGCCTATGAACATTTAAGCAGCAGATAAAATAGCTTAAAAATATAGCCCAAGACCATTCAAGCAGAAGAGAAAGTAGCCTAAAACAATAACTTAACAATATTGAACCTAAAAT